ATATCATTTTTCAATCTTTCAAAAATAATTTTATTTTCTCTAAACTTATCAATATTTTTATTAACGTTTATTTTAATATACATTTACATCCAATAATCATTTTATTTTCTCTCATTCTTATTCTCTGATTAGGTTCAAATATGTTTAATAAACTTTTAAAGTACAATTTTGAATTTTTTTATTTAGACATTACATTTTGGTTTTAATGTTCGTATAAGTAAAATTGTTATCATAAAAAAAATATCTAGCATAAATTCCTTCTCTTTAAATTAGATTACATTAATTAACCCTAAATCTCTTTAAACTCTAACCGAAACTCAGTTTTCAGGTCATTATCTGAATGATCTCAACCTTTCAACGAGAGACAGTTTTAAGGAAAAAAATAAAGTATGTTCCACAAATGTTGGGTGAGAAAGGTCGCAGAACAACTCAACTGAGATGGAACGAATTCGAAACAGTCACATTTATGAGGTACCTGTTTTTACGGTACAAATTTCTGGAGACCTTTTATTCCCCTTTATGGCCTTTCTAATGAGTTTTCATACTCGTTAATGTTAATATTACTAACAAAGATCCTCTATTGTTGGAGATATAATATTTTACTTTGTTTTAAGTAGGATAATAAAGTGGTTATGATAAAAATAAAAATAAAATTAAAAATAATGAAAAATATGGATTTATTAAATAATATCATTTAATCAATTCAATATTTTGATACACGTAAAAATTAGAATTAAAAAATCATAATTTTTATTATAAATATGTGTATGCGTATGTTGTATATAAGATTAAGAGTTAGATATAATAATTTTTTAATAATTGATAAAAATTATCATTTTTATTGATAATGTATAATACATAATATTTTGAGGGATAAAATAAGTAACATGATAATAAGATATCTAACAAATCATCCTATCTAATAAGATTAAAATAATAATTTTTTCTCTATAAATTAAATCATTCGTCTTGTTTGCATTCATTTTTTCATTCAAGCTTTGCTTCGTTAGATGAATGAAAGGGGATAAAAATGAAAAGTTTGTTAGTGCAATGGTTACATTTCATAATAATTTTCTAATTTTGTAGCTTATCTATGTGATTAACAAATTTTTTATCCCTAATTTTTTCCATAAAAAACAAAATCTTAACCTTGGAATAGGATAATTTTATCTTAACCTTGTCCACTACCACACATACCAAATTGATATTTGAGTTTTTCTAAATTGATAAAGGTAAAATAAGATTTAAATACAAAATTTGAGTTACCATTAGTGCCATTCTTGTAAAACAGTTTATATATGAACAATGCGTGTGAGATTAATAAATGATTTTTTTATAATTTTTAAAATATTTTAAAACATTTAAATTTGGAACATCATTTTGAAATTCAATATTAATTTTATGAATGAAAATGGGTAAAATTTATAAAGTATTACTCTTACCGTGTGTTTACATGTTTAATTATTAAGCATATATTTTGTAAAAGATAACAAGGAATGAAGGAAATATTGATTGTGTTGATAAAATTTAAAATTTGATTTTAATTATCAATATTTTTTTTATAAAAATTGATTATTGTTGAAAATAATCCTTATGGTAAATTATATGTAAATCAAACATCTATTCTAACCTGTACAAAGGAAATGTAAATCAGCCATCTTTTTCTAACTCTGAACCGATGAAATGTCGCTCGCCCTAAACTTTCTTTAAAAAAAAAAAAGGAGACTAGAGAGGAATATGTGCATTTTTTTCACCAATACGTTTAATTTTTTCAGTCAATTAGAGGGTTGAGTGAAATGGTTTCCCCAATTTGATACAAAGTTGGGTCCACGCCTGACATATCGATAATCCAGTGAATCTACCCCTAGCTAGTTCTAGATCACAATCGGCTACAGGCGTCTAACATCAAGACATGTGAATCCATGTCTTGGAAACCCGAATACCCGATCCGCATATAGTTATGTCTGGTGAAGTCAAGTGGATTCCAGACTGGAAAAAGCAATACTGTTGTACGGACTGCAGTTGAGCTCACCGAGGAACACGCTTTACAAAGCAATTTAGTAATCATACTGAATAGCGTTGGCAGGTAGGCAGGCAGGTAGGGACAGCTGTGGTGGGCAGCGCCGTACCGGGTACCTCCACAACGCACCGTTGCGCCCTCAACGTGGACTTGATCATACTGTTCTTGTATTCTATCCACTTGGCTGCTCACCATTGGCTTTAATGGGACTCTGTGTCTGGGGGCTCTCTGGTGTTTTCTGATCTGAGAGGTCAGAGCTCACTGGATTTTCTTTGTTCATCTTTGCCTTTTTAGCCACCTCATTTTCGTGTAATTTTAAATTTTTATATCTACTTGTTAAATGTGGAACTAAAGGACAAAGAACGGTCGGATGGGCTCCATAGATTTGGCGGGACCCGGTCCATCTAGGACAATTTTGTCAATTAAAAATTACCTTAATTATTCGGATCTTATCAATAAAAATTATCCGTCATTATTTTAATTGTGCATCTAATAAATCAGTCATTTGACGGAAATTTTGATTTTTATCCATATTAGAGTATTATTTTGGAGACAAATTAAAAAGTAAAATGTGGGGACATAGCAATAACTCTGATCACGGCTAACTATGGGAAAGAATATGTCACATGCCAATGCCTGATTTCAAGAGCCTTTTATGTTTTTTCCATGCTACAAAATGTTAAATCAATACAGGCAGCTGTGTTTTTTGAATCCTAGTTTGGTAATACAACCGTACATATATGATGTAACATTACCTCTTTAATGATTTTAAAAAAAATTAAGTTTCGTTTGTTTCAAAAAAATAATTTTTATATTTTTAAGTGTTTATTTAATAAAAAATTGATTAATTAAAAAATTATTTAAGAGTAAAATTTTTTATTAATATTTTTGGATATAATTTTACTTATAAATAATATTATATAAATAAATAATACTATATTAATAAATAATATAATAATAAGTATTATTAATTTAATTAATAAATTTTATAATAATTTTATAATATATTATTAAATAATACAAAGAATAATAAATAATTTTGTTTTAAATATTTTTATATTAAAATAATATTTTAATATTAAAATTATTATTAAAATATAATTATTTTTAATATAATAATTTTAATAATAAATAATTTTAATATATTTTAATCAAAAATAATTTTTAATATTTTAATAGTTATATTAATATTATTACAAAAAATTTCAAAAAACAACGAAACAACGAAAAATTTTTTCATTAATTCATCCCAAAAACATAAAATATCTTTTTATTCAAAAAAATATAAAACTTTTCGGAAATTATTTTTTAGAAGTTATTTTTTATGAAACAAATGAAGCTTTATATTTAACTTTTTAAAAAATAATTCTAATTTTATTTTTTCAAAATATAAAAATCTATTTACTATAAAATAATTAAATAATGTATTTGTAAAACTTTTGTGAGTAATCAAATAAATGAATTATGAAATTATTATCTTTTATATTGCTTGTGATACTTTTTATTTTCATAAGATTAGTAGATGAATATGAGTCTAATCGAGTACTTAAACATTTGACTACTTACTTTTTTTAAAATCTTTTCTCAATCCTTAAAGAAAAACTGAAAATAGTATTACATGAATTTATGTTTTTGCAGGACAGATTTGTCATTAGGAAACTAATGTACTGTGAATGGCATCAATTCTTCCACGGGAAAAAAAAATATCAAAGAAACGTAATTCAGAATTTGAATTAATTAGCATGTTCCAATTAGGAGATTAACTCCCATAAAAAAATTTTTTTTTCTCCTATAATAATTATTTTTTATAAATGAGACTAAGCGCTTTCTCAATCAGGATAGCTGCCAATACTTTGATAGCTTAGATATACATGATTATGAATCTATAGTCAGTAACATCCTAAATCATTACATCAATCACAGTTTTAACCAAAAATCGTTTTTCTCTGTTGCCACAATTATAAACCATTTTCATCTACAATACTAGGCACATTTTATTGTTCAATTTCAAAGTCACACTTACATGCCTCTCAAAAGATAAGAAAATAAGATAAATTACATAAAAAATATATATTTTTTAATTATGATTTAAGTTTAAATATGAGATTTTCATTTCAAATTTTGATTTCAAAATCAATGATTTAACAATTTATTTGAATTAATATAAAATATTAATTGCTGTATTTTTCACAAAATTTTCATTTTTTACTTTAAAAGCAAGTCCCAAGTCATAAGAAATCTGTGCTAGGTCACTAGTTCTTAATCACTTTAATTGTAAACATAACCATAACTACAAAAACTCGAAGGAACTATTCTCGTTAAGTTAATATGATGTGATCCATTGGCCCACTTTTTAAAGGAAATAAAACAAAGGTTAAAAGATTAAAAAATTAAGAAATTTATGAATTATAATTAAAAAATATCTAAATTTATATATTTTTTATTATAATAAATTAATTTTTTAATTTTTTTTACATACAATTAAATTTTATTTAAACATTAAGTTTTTTATTAATAAAAATAAAAATTTCATATAATATTAATAAAATAAATTAAAATTTATTACGTGATACAAGTAATATATATACAAATTAAATAAAATATTTATTTATTTATTTTCTCTTTTTTTATAAAATTTTTTTAAAGACTTAACTGATTAAAATTGATTAATTAAATTTTATTATGTAATTAGATATTATCCATTTCAGGATTTAATAAAAAAAGTTAATTAATTATAATTTAAAAACAGTTTTAATTCTTTAATCTAAAAAATTTGGAATTACCCGATTAAGAGTAAGGACAGAATCAATCGGGTTACAAAGTAAAGGCAACCCACCGAGTGGGCTCAGATTGTATCCATCCACATTTGTTTTGTTTTTTGTTTTTTTGTTTTTAATTAAAATCGGATAGTACTAAACACTGATAGAAATAAAATGACGTTTGTAAATTTCCGAATTTACAAAATGAACTGCAAGCCTTCGGGACACAATTGTCATTCTAATAAAAGGTAAGAACAGCTGGATGCTTTTCTTATTGGAATCTATGCCAGAATATATTACTCAATATAAATTTTATCTTTTAATTTTTAAATAGATTTTTATTTCTAATTCTGTTATTAGTATACTCTTTATCCTAAATATTTATAATTATGTTTGGCCGCTGGATTTCTATGATGGAAAAGGCGAAGCCAAGAAAAATTAAAGAAAAGAAAAACAGCTTTTCATCTCACCTTCATCTTTCTCTCTCCCTCCAGTCTCTACCTCTTATCTCTGTTTTTGCTGTCCATCAGCTTCTCTCATAGAGAAAGAGGAGGGGACGGAGAGGGGGAGAAGTGAAGGAAGTGAGACCGTTACACCGGCGGCGCACGGTAGCACAGGGTCCTTTATTCTACGCTCTGTTTCAATTTCCACTGATTCCTTCCTGGTATTGCTTTCCTAACAAAGGTCGCTTCGTTCCCACGGCAAATTCCACTTTGACACGGAGCCCAAAAAAATCGATTCTGAACTTTGCTTCTGACCCCATATTTAGTCGGTTGCCCTTTTGAACTCTGGCGGACCTAAAAGGAACGCTATCGTTCTACTGGTCCTCCCTCTCGGTAATATTAGCAGATCGGTTTGATTTCGAATCTTAAAAAAAGTAAAGGAGAGGGATTTTCAGTATTAAGATGCTTTGGATAATGCGACTCTCGGGGTTCTTTTCAGCTGCAATGGTGATGATTGTTCTCTCTCCGTCGCTCCAGTCTTTTCCTCCAGCTGAAGCCATTAGATCCTCTCACCTCGACAGGTACCTCCGGTTACCGTCGTATCAGATGTCCACTTCACCACACTCAATAGAGGATCGATTTTCTTTTCGAAAAGCCTCCGAATCTCGTAATGCCGACGAATGTGGTTTCACCAACCATAAAATCTCCGGCGTTTGCGATCCTTCTTTAGTCCACGTGGCTATCACCCTCGATGTCGAGTATCTCCGTGGCTCAATCGCCGCCGTTCACTCTATTCTCCAGCATTCATTGTGCCCGGAGAACATTTTCTTCCATTTCCTCGTCTCGGAGACCAATCTGGAAACCCTAGTTCGGTCCACGTTCCCTCAATTGAAGTTCAAGGTTTATTATTTCGAACCTGAGATTGTACGGAACTTGATATCGTCCTCTATTAGGCAAGCGCTTGAACAGCCGTTAAATTATGCCAGAAATTACTTAGCGGATCTGCTAGAGCCGTGCGTACGGAGAGTGATTTATTTGGACTCTGATCTAGTCGTTGTTGACGATATCGCTAAGTTGTGGAGTACCAGCCTGGGTTCAAGAACAATCGGGGCACCGGAATATTGCCACGCAAACTTCACAAAATATTTCACGGGCGGGTTCTGGAAGGGCGAACGGTTTTCAGGGACTTTCAAAGGGAGGAAGCCTTGCTATTTTAACACGGGGGTGATGGTGATAGATCTGGTGAAATGGAGGCGGGTCGGGTACACGAAGCGGATCGAAAGGTGGATGGAGATCCAGAAAAGTGACCGGATCTACGAACTAGGCTCGTTGCCGCCGTTCTTGTTGGTTTTTGCGGGGCGCGTAGCGCCCATCGAGCATAGATGGAACCAGCATGGGTTGGGTGGGGACAATGTGAGGGGAAGTTGTCGAGACTTGCATCCGGGTCCGGTTAGCCTCTTGCATTGGTCTGGTAGCGGTAAGCCATGGCTTAGGCTGGATTCGAAACGGCCGTGTCCACTCGACGCTTTATGGGCGCCTTATGACTTGTACGGACACTCGCATTGATATCACAGCAGGGATAGTCGCCGGTAAATTCCTACCAGGACTGTTATTTTTTGTCACTTATTTTTATTATTTTTATTTGGACAATTTTTTTTTTTTGCATCTTCTTTACTGTGATGATGACCTACTCAATTTTTTCTTCACTTTCAATTTTATTTTATTTTTATTAACTCGTCCATTTCTATTCTATTGTTCCTGCTTCTGAAAATAAAACCGAAAAGAAAGGAGATATTCAATTTGTTACAGATTGCATAAAACTCTTTATTCCGAGTGTTTAATGGAGTTGTGCGTTCGATTTAGCACTCTAGTTTTAGAGTTTCAGTTGCTTTCTAGGTCCAAACAGAAAAACAAAGTTTATCCCTTCCGTTGAGGAAGCATTCCACTTAGTTGCAACCAGGTGAAAAAATATTAAAATGGCCAAATTCTACTTTCTTAAATTTTTTGTTGTACTTGCAATTACAAGCAACTGGCAATAACGTATATTAGATTAATGGCGTCCTGGCTGGTATCGGTCTAGGCAATTTTGGGAAAATGTGGAGAAGTTTTTTAGGTAGGGTCTTAAAATAGGGCATAGCTCTATGACTGGGCATATGAGTATTTGCACGCTTGCCTGTTGCTTATATAAATATATATAAACACACCACCTTACTTACCAAATTGAAATTAAGAAATACGAAAATTGAGAAATGAATGAGAAGAAATTTATATTGCTGTAGGTGGAGTGCAATTAGCAAGAAATGGGCTTGGATTAAGTGGGAAAGGACATGTGATCTTTTATTGCGAGTTAGTTGTCCATTTTCAATGGTGGCCGAAAGGGACCGAATGAAGGGGCGAGGGGGCCGCGGTGCCGGCTGGAGAACTAATCTAGGCATTGGAAGAATCTGAAAGTTTTGGATAGCCGCTTGCTTAGTTCATGGGGCTGTAATTTTTTTTATTATTTATTTATTTTTGGTGGCTTTGTGCTTTGGTGGCAGCGGCGGAAGACTTGTGAGCTGCCTCCTCTCACTGTTCATTTGCGCACTTAGGTGGCAACGCATATTCTCCCTTTGGCGTCAGATTTGTGTGTATAATGTATTTCTTGGTAATTTTTCAGTATTTTTTTAAAATTTTTTTACTCTAAATAAAGTGATACATATACACATGCATGCATTTTATTATAATATTTTATCCACCAAATAAATTATAAAGTAATGATTAATAAGGGGCGATTGTTTAAATGAAGCTAAGAAAGTCGAGCTACCAAACTAAAATGGTGGCATCGACAGAGGGACCCAGATGTCATTGTAGTGTATGAAATGTCCAAAGTAGGAATGGGGACCGATTCCTTTTGCCCTGGCATCCCACGTGGCCAGGTGTTGGAATTTTATAGAATCAACGAGTCATCTTACGGTTAGTCAGCCCCATATGATTTGTTCCATTTGGGTAAACTTCGAACTTAATATTGTGGCTAATTGGCTATGTAGCATCAACCTACATGCGCCTGCTTTGCTTCGTAACTATTTCTTTTATTTTAATGTTTATTTATTTAATTCTTCTAAATAGGACATTACGTTTAGATTTGTTTAAAATTACAGTCTTTAAGAATTTGACTAATATACATTTCACCTAATACTCAACTGATTTCGTAATTACTCTTTTTTTTAACTATAAAAAAGGAATTTATATAAGATACTTTAATTAATCAATTAAAATAAAATTTGACCTGGACATAGTAACAGCTGAAACTGGGCCTACATAGTTTTTGGTGGTAAAATCATAAAAGAGAGATGTGACGCTGGCAGCTTTTGATTCAATTATTCTAAACATATCCTAATCCAGTTATTTTTAATCATTTGGTGAGGTTAGATGATTCCAGAAGGAGTGGAGGTCATGGCCGCCGGTGATCCCGCAAGCCAACCCAGATTCATGTAGAAAACCCTGGACTTTATAATAAGGGTTTTATGTAATTTAAGTATTATTGCATAAATATAGGTGAAAAGCTATTATTTTCATACGTACCTGAAAAAAAATGGATTCGGTCGAGCTTTCTTTGTGTACCTTGGTCCTTGGAGTAGGTTATACATGTGGATGGAATTACTGGCTGATAATGTGATATGCAGATTTTTATTTCCTCTATTGTTTTCTAAATTCCCACATTGACGAAGAAGTATGTCATTTCGCTGGGGCTGGAATGCCAAAAGATTACATTTTACAAAACTTTTACAAGAGTTAGCCGGGCCCATAAAACCATCGCAATTGATTTGATTGGTCCCCAGTGGGAGCCAGCGCATTTCTTCCTCATGTAATGATTTATGTAAGACCCTGTTACACTTGTATCTGCAGTGAAAACGCATGAAAATTGGTTCTTTACCAGAAACCAAAACCTCCAATTTCTACGTACCTTGATTTCGTTTGGGAATTGAGCATTATGCCATCATACAAGGTGCCTGGCATCTTAAGTTGGGTGTGGAAGGATCTGCTGGGAACGACAAGAAACAATTTATTGGCATGAGCTTGTCTGAGAAACCTGCAAACTACGTTGCGTGGTATTCTTTGTTGCTATAGAACTGTCCTTTTATTCCATGTGCACATAAAACACACCAAGTGTGCATTGAATATGAATGTTGACAGTGATTTTCATGGCTGCCTGATATTAGTAGAATTAGCATTTGGAATCATGTTAGCAGATCAAATCAAGTTTTGCCAGTTACACAAACAAAGACAAAATAAGTTTGAAAGCTGCTATTCTTTCCCCTTGGAGAGGTTAAAAACAAAAAGACATGTTCTAAAACTATTTATCAGTTGACTGTGGCATGTGAGGGAAGGCCACAAAAGAAGAAAAAAGCTATGTGTAAAATGAGTGTTGAAGCTCGTGAGATCCTGAGAACCTTTACAGCTAGAAACAGCCATTGGTTTATTCTGGGGGTAAAGAGGAAACCATTAGCAATCATTGGTCCACCCTCCCAGTGCTACAAGTACTGGCTTTCCTGCCTAATCTCGAATCAAAGACTCCTGCTTCATTCAAGTGGCGCATATTTATTAGCTGTGTTTTGTACCAGAACATCATATGCGCGCTAATCGAACGGAGGAATAAACTTGAACTATCGTCTTACCGGAATCCAATACGTGGTGTTTGGTTTAGACTTACCAAGGTAAATTTCTTTGTTTGGGTCCAGAAGAAAAAACAAACCAATCCCAAGAACGGGGTGCCATTGACTGTCTACGCCACCTCTACAGTTTGATGGAAACTTCAACCACATATTCCCCATAGAAAAATTTCAGTGTCACCGACAAAACTCACCAAAACATCATGCAGGCAACTTTTTTTTTTTTTTTAGCTTTTTTATTATTGGAAGGAAAGTAGTGTTAGACTCAAAATTTACCATCTTAATCGAAGTGACCTTTAATCTTTTTCTCCACCTAAATAACTACAGAAAATTGTAATGACTGAGGCCAGAGCAAAGAGTTCAAAGGAATTTCATTGTCTTGGATTTTAATCATTAACATTAGTTATAGGTTTGCTTGCATGCAATTAATATAGTAGGATCAAAATGCTACGCGGTCTTTTTCTCCAGAAAGCAACCATTCCTTATTTTATCTAGCAGTTACGATGTCATATTCTTCAGTACTTAAAAAACTTTCTGTTCTGCGTTCCAAAAATTAGATGCCTCTCCTTTTTAGAATAATTTCGTCAACTTCTAAAAATTTTATACCATTGATGTATAATATTCAGAATCCAGAGGTATGAGCCCTAATGAATTAGTGATGGTAATTATGATCTATTCAAGAGGTAAGATTTGCTAAATTCTTAGGAAGAGAGATGCCAATACAAGACTCCCCCATCATTATATAAACTGTATGGACTAATATTAACAGAAAATTTGATGATCAAAAGTTTCTTCAAGTTCCATCTTAATCTATTCAAGGAGAATCCTGTAAATTCAATGGTAAAGAGGAATAGACAAAGAAATAGAAATGACAGAAACGTTTTAAAACTGGCTAATAAGGAATGAAGTGACCCAAGCAAGATTTGGGGCTATAGCTGCTAGTAGAGAGGCAAGTGGGATAGATTACACAAGAATGTCCTTGCCACCCCCACCTAGATTATGGCGATGTTTTCTACCCCGATTGTGATCAATAGGACCACTTGAAATTTGATGGGACATGTAGCCTTGACTTTGATGGGAGTATTGGCAAGGTACAACTTCAGAATTTATTGAATCTATATCCATAGATGTTCAAACAGGAGATAGCTTAGTGAGCCGGATTGCCTTTACTCAGATTGTAGGGAGATAGCTCATTTCGTGTGGGCATACCCCTTCCATTATCAATTAATTAAGTGGGGCATTATAGCTCTTGTTTCATATTATATCAATGTGCAATTCCTGCAATGGAAGAAATATTCCTTGAAACCTCCTTTGTCATGAAATGGAGAGAAAAACACCAATTTGGCAATTGGAATTTGTTCACATTCTAGAAGAGGATGGATCCACCATTCTGTTGTCTTGGTGTGGACTAGAAGATTTATCTCATTGGCGTGCCTTGTTTCTGCCATGTGGATTCAGCCAAGCCATGAGAGTTCTCGGATTCAGTGGAACCATTGAAAAGCATTGACACAATGCAATCAAACAGAAGATAGGACAGTGGTTAGACTAGATTCTTGCGGGCAAGCATACAATAGAAAGAAAACTGATGGCACGATGAATGAGAACAGGTGCCCAGCTTCATATTGGATCATATTTAAATGATAGGCTTACATCGTTAAACAAAGGTGTGGGGCATCAGAAAATCTATTGGAAGGATATCAATCAGTGTGTTAAATCAGGATTCACCCCGGTTGAAATGAAATGATCACAGGTGGGAGTAAGAATCGATTTTCTGTCTTACGTTAATTGAATGCATATATATAAAGTACTCGCAAACAATTTTTGTTCAAGAAATCAAACCAAATCAAATTTTTCATAATGCTGCTTTCTATCATATATATATATATATATATATAAGTACACGAAATCATAAGAAGCCTGAAACTCAATTTAAACCAACAAAAACTACGTCCTGAGACTCTTGAAACACAACCTTTGATTCTAAATGCAGAGATGTTAGATAAGAACAACAAAATCAACAACAACAAGCTATTACTGTAAATTTATAATTTCAAATGAATACATTCCATTTCAAATGAATATATCAAAGTAACAAATCTCGAACCAAATTACATTCAATGTGAAAAGGCAGAGAAAATAAACTACAGAACGAAGTTGAGTAACTTCATGCTTTGTGTTGTTGCATGTGCACAACAGCAACCTATTACAGAAGTACATCAAGGGAACTGGAACTTCATGTAATCCTGCCTTCCAGATGGAGGACTTATATACACCCAAAGCAAGGAAATAATGATGGAGAGCAAGCCAGACCACACAAAAACAATGGTTGGAACTTTTCCCCTCCTTCCCATCAAACCCTTTGCAAAAGGATAGAGATGGCACAGCACCCAGAAGCTGAAGAACACTCCTCCGACAAGCTTGCTCCACTGTGGAAAGGGGCTGTACATGGTTCTTGCTACACCCACTGCAATTGCAATCGAGTTTACCATCATAATTGTGATTGGAGGAACCATTAAGAAGCTCCATTTTACGATGTATAACTCAGCAAACTCATCATCTCCATCATCTGAGGTGGCAGATTTGGAAGTTAATGTAAATGAGATATCAACTCCTGCTATAACCTTTAAGAGTCCTTGTAGCACAGCTGCAGGATGGGCACTGGTTCCGCCAATCAACCAAAACTGTTCATTTCGCCACCAATCATGAAGTGTGATTCCTGACCATTTGATTTCAAGGACAGCAAGCAGGCATAATGTGATTGTGATGGCCAACAAGAATATCAGGAAGGTCACACTGAGGGTTTGCACTATGAACTGCCCAGAGAACAGAGAAACTGCAGGTAGGATGCAGTAGACTAGGAGAAACATGGAAGTGAAAGGGTACATTCCCACATTGAAATATGCTACTCTTTGCAAGAATTTCATCCGACGACTAGCAAATAGTGCATTGTTCCTCGAAAAGAATATCTCAACAGAACCAGTTGCCCAGCGAAGGACTTGGTGCAGCCTATCTGTTAAATTGATTGGAGCAGTCCCCCGGAATGCATCCCTCTTGGTTACACAGTACACTGATCTCCATCCACGATTGTGCATTCTATAACCAGTCACCACATCTTCTGTGACGGAGCCATATATCCATCCTACTCTTTTTCCCCACTCAGTTTTATCCTCATAGAAGCAAGAGATAACACTTATTGCCTCCGCAACAGTTGCAGCATCCAAAGGTTCACGTGGCACTGCAAGAGAACCTGCTGGCCTGCCTTGGTTTCCCTTCCCTTGCAAATCCTGAAGCAGCCTTCCTTGGTACTCAGCAACTGGGATGGATGCTGCAAGAGAAGTAGAGTTCCCAAACCTTTTAGGAAGAAGCAAACATTCAATATCTGCATCATCATCATCATTGTGTTCCCCATTAATAGGCAATACTATCTCATCTTCTGCTTTCTTTGTCACCTTGGGTTTCCTTAAGAATAACTTGATTTTCCTTCGGCCAAACCACCCATGATGTTCAGTGGCTCTAGGAGGACTAAATCCATAGAGTGCAGTTCTCCTGAAAATGCAACCTGTACCTACATACATTGGACCCTGTAACCCATCAAGAGCTCTCATGCTCACATCAAAGAACACGGTGTTATGATTTGCATATCGGTCATTTGGGTCAATCCCCTCAAACCTTTGTGGGAATTGAACATAACAGATCCTGTCACCACCTCTGTCAAGCATAAAGCACATTCCTTCCCTGAGAGCCAAAGAATTGTGAATGTAGTGATCACAGTCAAGATTGAG